CCGTATGACAGCATATCTTGTTCGCGTGCTGATGTTTTTTTTAAAGTTTGTTTTCGTGAGTGCTGATCATCACAAGAGCATTATGACACAAATAAAATTAGTACTTACTTCAAGAACAACCTTACGTGAAAAAAAAAAACAACAACAAAAACTCACCAAGTGAACAGACAGGCAAAGACGAATAGCAAGAAACTACGGTTAGAGTGTGCTGTGCTTACAGCATGTTGATTCCGCTCGAAATTCACAGAAATGCAGTGCCAAAAGTTTAAACCAATCACTAAGTGACAAAAAAAGAAAAGAAGAACAATTACCATAGCTAGCACTGAAGGCGTTATGCTAAAAAGACAGCACAGCCGATGGGCACCTATGTAGTCCTGGCTTTTTGCTGTCTGGCTACGCTTTGCGAATTATTTTCTTTCTTCCTCCTTGTTCTTGCTTTTATATTTCGTCTCTGTTTTATAATTTTTTCTTTGTGCGCGTTTTTTCTTATTTCTCTCTCCATTTCTTTCTAGCTTCTTTTTTCATCTCTTTCTCTTTTCAAGTAACTTCACATAACTGACAAGATTGAGCTCCGATGTTGAGTTAAGCATAATACGAAAATGTTGACCACCTCAGAGTGCCAACTTTGTCGAGTGCCGCTGCTCGTCGTAACTCGGACACTTCACCCTCACCGAAGAACTTAAGCCGCCTCTTTCACCCCTAGCGACGTAACCACACTTCCTCCACTTTTCTGCGAATAACTCTGCGTGGGAACGCCGGACGGCAGTACACGGGCACGACATTTCAAAGTTTATTTTTTTTCACTTCGGCGCGTAAGCGCGATCAAATGTTTGCTCGTGCATCGCACACAAGGAAGTACCCACCCCTCCACTTTCCCTCTCACAGCCGCTCTGACAAAAGAACGTCGCCAAGATGTCTGCAGGAGTTATCTGCTTTGGGCAAGCTAGTGTGACATATGGAAAGTAAACAGAACGATGACACAAAACACGGGATGTCACATCCTGTGTGTGCGCTCCCAGGATTGAAGATGCTCCCTTCGGTACTTCAGTAGAAGCTACGTCATGCACTCACTCGAAAGTACACCGTCTGACCAAGCGACACAGAAGGCGCAGCGTGCACGCGAGGTTCCATTGTTACACGGCTACTCGAAATTAACTCGCCCCATTTCGTGGCGACGTTGCCTCCGAGAGCCTCGTACTGTCCTCACGTAGTGCCCTCAAGACTGAGCGCAACGAGAGAGGCGTCTGTTATCTCTCCAACAGCGAAGGGCGAGCTACAACTCCCGAGCAGTGCGTGTAAGCGCGTGGAGTTGTTCATTTCCGTAGCACGCGCAGTTCGTAGGCTAAAACGCGCTTCGTAGACTCTGTTCTGGACTTTCAGGGCACTTCAGACTGCGACGCGAAAGTTTGCAGGCGGGCGGGCGAAGGAGAAGGCGCCCCGCGGTCAGCGCGCCATGTAAATTGAATTTGCGAGCAATGCAGCACAGCTGCGTGCCGTGCGTTGGGTCGTCTCGCAGACAACGCGCCCGCGGCTATAACTACGGCGTTAAAACCCTGAGTTGCAGAGAGTCGGTGTCGGCGAGTCGGGAACACGTGTTCCGACGCATATCTCAGAGTCGGATGAATAGGCGGACGGCTGTAATGATGAAGCGGTGAAACAATTGCGCCTCGTTAATTCATATCTGAAATAGATATGTGGTGAACAGACGAAGCCTAACACTGATATAGGGTCATGTTTAGTTGCCAATACAAACATCTCATCGTAAATCGCGGTGGCAGATTTGTCACGGTGCACATATGGTGATGAAAAAGTAGTGGTTTCAATCTCAGCAAGAGCGCTCCCATTTAGATGGAAGTGAAATACAAGAGTTCCGCGTACTGTCCGATGTCAGTGCACAATAAAGAACACCAAATCATCGAAATTTTCGCAGACCTTCGCTAAGGCTTGTTTTCTGATCAAATCATGGTCTTGGGGCGTAAAAATTTGTTGGGGAGTGTTTTCCAGCAATCCTGGTGGAGGATCTATTTTTGGCTTCATTACGCGTTGACTTGATTCGTATAATGAAATCGTATGTATGTGTACTTATAAACACGGACATAAAACTAAAAAAAAAAAAGAACAGACAACGTTCTCGAAAACAAAAGTACGGTTTCATGGTTTAGGGAACGCGAAAATTGAAATGACAGAATTTGGCAATGGCCCTACGATGCCGGGAAACTACACGTCATTGTACCACCATCAATCTCCCAACAAATAAACAAAGCGAGTATGGTAAAACTATGTTTTTTTCTGGCACCAGAAAGCATGACCTTCGTGAGACGGCCATCTGTAATGCAACCTAATCCTCACAGTCATAGAAAAACTGAACGTTTTTCTCATCCAGTACAAAATTCACCACGTGCTCGAAGCTACAAAAGAAAAGGCACCCGTATTAAAATGTTCGACATCAACGTTTGAAAAACCCGGAGGCCCACGTATAATTAATGACTACTCCGTTTCTCTTACCTTAATTCTACGGCTTCTCGCCTTGCTGCTCAATTTCTCGCTCCTAGCTGTCACACGTCGCGCACCACAGTTTTCTGACAACTCGAGCGGCGGCAAACCACGTACACGCATTCAGGAAACAATTAGAACCAATAAGGGGCGAGGCTTGAAAAAAAATAGAAGGAGAACGGTACTTAATCATGCCATTACGATGTTGACATCTTTCGCGGAACGTTGTTCTACAGAAAAGAGGAGCGGGATAGGGGAGACCAAACCTTCTTTACATGTAAGCTACCAAGCCTATAGTTTCGTTTTCGCGGTTTTCTTCGGAGTGCGTTGTTTCCACGTGACGCGCGAGTGCGAAGTCTCCCATCGAGGCACTTAATTTTTTTTGATTGATTTGATTGATATGTGGGGTTTAACGTCCCAAAACCACTATATGATTATGAGAGACGCCATCACTTTATTTTTTTTGCCACACTTTAGTTCTCTATTCGACCTCTTGCCCTCCCCCTCCCCCTTTTGTGCTTTCCAGAACTTTCTTTTTTCTTTAAATTTCAGGTCGCTTTCATTTGTCACTGCTCTCAGTGAAAAATAGTCGGCCGGGAATTGGGCAAACAGACCCTAGATCTTCAGGAGCGACGTGGGGGGGGGGGGGGGTCGGAACAGCGTAAAGGAAAAGCCGCGAGAATGAAAATAAAAAAAATAGAGAAAACGACGGGATCTAAAGAACACGATTATGAGAATGAGCGTGAGAACAAGAAAGAAAGAAAGAGCGAGAAGAAGACAACGAAGCGGAGCTACAATTTTCATAAAATCGGCAAACGATGTAGTACACAGTAGGGGACAAAAATAAAGAAAAAAAAAGAAGAGAGAGATGGCGCCAGAGCAAGGCTGCTAGGAGAATAGTGAGTGGAAGAGAAAGAGAGAGACCAATGGAGAAGAAACAAAAGAAAGAAAACAAGAGAGGCGAAAAGTTCGCTTCGCGAAAATTCAAGCAGCGTGAGAGACAAGCAATTTGTCACCGACCGCAATATTCTTCGACGCGCTCGAGAGCCTCTTCCCAGGAGCAAAAGAACCAACGCGAAGCTCTTTCCCCTCTCTTCCCTCTTCTCAAAGCTTCACTTTTTCAGCTCCCAACGCCTCCGACACGTTCCTCCCTTCCATTAATTGCAGATTTCTCCACGTGGGCGGCGCAACGATCGCGTTAATTGCGGGCCCCACACGCGCTCGAGCCTCGGACACTGACTTCTGGAAGTACAGAAGGCTAGTACACAAACACGGGGCGAGTACGCGGTGGCGCTGCAATCGCGGTCTGCTTGGGCAGACGACAAGAATGGGGAGAGGAGTTTCGGGAGGAATGGGTGTAGGAGAAGGGGGGGCTGTTTCGAAATACCCGTTTTTAAACGACCGGCGATTAATTATTTAATTACCGCGAGCACGCTCAACGAGGCGAGAGACGGCGAGCGAAGTCTGCGGTGACCGTCCTTGCTAGTAGCTAGGGACGCACTCGGGCGTCCAATAGGAGAGCGAGAAGCTCGTTACGATGACGACGACGTGGCAGCAATGACTTCCGGTCGACTAACTTCCGCTCTTCGCGTTTTACGGACCCCGCGCGAGCGTAGCGCTGTCCGGTGAACCGTCCTTGCCTGGACGCTGACTGGACGTGTGGTCCGAGCTCCATAAAATCGGAACAGCCGGAAGTACAAAACACCACGAATGGGCTGTTTAGAATAAACGGTGCAGGGTTGGACTTCCGGCTGGACGCGGAAATCATGCACCGTGGCTGGCTTGGCTCCGCCGATGGAAAAACGCCCGCACGAGCGTTGTGCACTTCAGACAGGCCGCGTGACTGTATTGCAATATAGCGAAATGGATGTGGCAGCATCCTTGTTTAGCGCACTCGGCAGTTCTCCGTGAGTGGCACGACATCTTACGATAGTAACAATTCATGCCGATGAAATTTGTACGGCGGCTGCAGACAAAACCTTTCTCGTGTTTCTCTATATCAATCACGTGCTGCGGTTGCCACGGCCACATTATCTCCGTAGACTTCTGAATCTCATCTGTTCATTGAACTCGCTGTCTACACCTTGAGCTCTCCTTCTCTTGGTCTGTTTGACCAGCAGTTATCTCGCTTACTCACTACGAACCCTGCTTATTCCCTTCTCATTAACAATTAAACACGGACAAGCACTCCTTTATTAATGAACAAACAAGACGCTTTAATGTATACAACTGCAGTGTGCTGCTTGTAGGATCGCCACGGATTAGTGTTAGTGCAAGTTCGAACGTCCCAGAAAAGTTTAAATCACAGTTCAAATTTGCAAAAAAACAACAATATTTCCGTAAACCTAGAAGCTGGGTTTACTTGAAATACATGTGGGTCTTTAACCCACATTCATCATATTAAAAAGAGCGTGAGAATTTTTCTATTTCGTAGACGTCGCTTCCATCTGCAGGCTTGCCGACGGCTGGTTCGACACCGCTATCGGTCAACACATCAGTATACTCACCGGAAGGGTAGTCTCTTCTGTGCGTTGAACAGTGCAAGGATGACGTTGCCCAAAGCGGAGAGGCTGAGTGGGCCGCCTGCCTTGGTTCCTCGCTCGCAGCTGCCCAGGTCGAAAAGGTGCAACCGGCTGCGTCCTCCAGCCACTAGATAGAGAGAGAGAAAGAGAGAGAGAGAGAGAGAGAGAGAGAGAGAGAGAGAGAAATACATAATTAGCGACAAAAGAGCGGAGAGAATGGTCTAAAGTAGTCTTTCGTGATATTTTACGCCAGTGACCAGCAATGTCAAAATAACTTCATATGCGTCTGGTGAGAGCATGGGCTTTGCCCGCTGATATCCTTAGTGTTAGCTCAGAGGTGATTGTCGACATACATTCAGATCTTACTCCAATCAACCAGTTCCTACGTCACCGTGTCCTAGCATTGTCTGGCATGATTCCACAGTACGCGAAACAGGCAACAGCTAGGAGATCGAGTTAACAGAAGCTGAGGTATTTAAAAGGTTGACGCTGCATGGACAGGTAAGTGGCACTCACCTCCACCTCGGCCGCTCTTGTCCACCCGGTACTGGTAGACGTGCAGAGTGAACAGGAAGTGGCGGTTCCGGCTCTCTGACTCGGACCCTGAGAGGAATCAGTGACTCAGTGCTATATATCAGAGTGCATCTCGTAGTAAGCTCCCACGCTTTACTAGCAAATCGATATACCCCCCCCCCCTCCGTCAGGTATCAAGAGTGTATCTCCAGATAACAATGAACGCGAGGTTCCAGTCTCCATTCCCGATTACCGTGAAACGTTCTCTAGACGCAGGTCTCGGACCAAGAACAACAATCCTGTGTAAGCATATGCCTTAGTGATTCAAGGATGAAACCAAGCAAGAAATTATTCTCCGATTGGAACTTTGATATAGTGAACTGACGCATCGAGTAAGTAACAACATTTTTAACGCATCCACAGTGATTTGATTTGGTCACGCTATCTATGGTGACAGCCACTGATCATAGAGCGTCGTTCTTTCAAAGTTATTGGTTTTCTTTTCACACTTCCTAAACGTGTGAGACAGAACTTTCAAAGCAGCAAAAGCTTGAATTACCCATTTTTTAAGAACTGAAGTGCGAGCGAGTTTGCAGAAATTTTTATTAAACACGTACGTAAAAACATTACTTTACTACGTTTGCGTGAAAGGTGCGCATAATAAAAAGAACAAATTACTGGACAGAATGTAAGGTCAGGTTAGGTAATAATAATTTTGTTTTTCCAAGGCAACAAAGAACGCAATATAGATTTAAATGAACTGAGGCTCACTCTGATTGGCTGCCGCCGCAGCGGCCACAGCAGCGTCCAAAAGGAAGGCCGCCTTCTCGGCCGTAGGAGCGCGTAGCTCACTGTAGTTCATCAGCTTGGTGCCCAGGATTGGGTCGTCCCTCAGGTAAAGACCGGGGGCAGTGCCGGAACCCTCGGTGCCTGCGTTGCGCGAAGTGAAACCGACAATGAACAAGTCAATCAATCAATCAATCAATCAATCAATCAATCAATTAATCAATCAATCAATCAATCAAAGAATGATAATTTTACAACGAATATCCATGCATCTATCTATCTGTCCATCCGTCCATCCCTCTTTCTGTATGGCTAGCTAGCTGGCTAGCTAAATACTTGCTTAGTAAACCTTAATACTATGAATTTTTTTTTATTCGTGCTTTCTTTTTTTTTCCTGCTTCACTTTGGAACACTGCATAGTCTCAATGTTTTTTCTTGGCAGTCAACTGCTTATCTGCACGAACCCGCCATTCTGCAAGCTCAAGCTCCTGTAAAGCGTGCTCTGTCCTTTGCAGTAAAGCGTTAGGAGAAGATATATACCTATATGTTCCCTTTTCTTCTTTCTTTTTCGATTAGTGTCGGTGGATAGCGCCACCTTTGGTGGAGGGTGCAACAACTCGACATTTTGCACAGCCTCCGAAATGGTCTTGTATAGTTGAAGATCTCGAATAACTCTCGACTGACGCGCTCCTATGGGCCACAAGTAAGAGACACCGTGATGATAGTGTCGGTTGCGAGCGCCACCACACGGCGCTTGCTCAAAACTGAAGGAGGGTCGACTCCACTTGGAGCACGAGTCATTCGTCAGGCATCTTAATAAATGATACAATACCCCAGTATTCTAGTAAACAAGGACGGCGGACATCTTCAAAGTTGCAGTTCATCGACTTGGCAAGTTCGCAATAAGCGTTCCACTAGTCAACACTGAAGCATGGGCGGAAGCACCTGAATAATTACATATTCAGAATGTGTGGATAGAGGCTGATACACAGAGCAAGTGTTGCACTTGTCTTATTTATGCACTCGACTGGTACTTCAAACAATTGAGAACCCCTTGTACCAATCGCTACTTCACCACCTTCTCGGGAGCTTAGCTCTATTCAGCAACGAACATCTCGTACGTGATTACACTGTCACACTCTTTGTCCTTAGGTCTTTAGTAAAGGGCATGACACATGATTGGCGAATCAGGGGCCGATTGTTAACCAACACGAAGTTACCGGCCCTGGAACCACGGAAACAAATCCAATAGAGACAAAATGACGGCACAAAACACACGCGCACACAGAAAAGGCCTGCGAGCCTGCGGAGCTGGCAGGGTCAAGGACCCCTGTTTTTCCCGCCTCATTCGTTCTCTAAAAGAGCTAATACTGCGCCCGAAGGAGCGTTGCTCGTGAAACGAAAAAAAAAAACAAAAACAAAATGTGGCAAGGCGTAGGGCGAGGAGCGAAAAAAAGAACGCATTTAAGGCGAGCATGCACCGAAGGTGGTGCCGTGAGAAGAATGGGGAAATCGACCGTGTTACGACGCAAGGAGGAAGAGGAATAAGGAAGAAAGAAGGAGCTGCTAGAGTTGAAGCCCAGATAGGAGGGTGTGGACTCTACATGCGTCCTCTCCTCGCTATCCCGTCGGAACAACTGCGGGTAGTTTCCCCCTCGAAGTGCCCTAAAACTTCCACTCTGTACCCTTTTTTCCCCATAGTCGATATACACGCATTTTCGCTTGCACCCTTTTCCCTCTCCGTATGTAACCGCTCCCGAGGCTTATGCGTGCGGATCCGGTACTGGAAAGGAAGCAATGTTAACCAGCCAGCTGGCATGACTGATTGACTTAATTTACATGTTGAACACAAAACAAATGATCGGAGGCAAAGTCAAAAGCCATTCAAGGATGGCTCGAGGGAATCCATCCTCCTATTGGCAAATACGACAGCGAGTAAGGAACATGTAGTTTGCTTAAATTGTTGGACACTTTGGACAATGATTATTAAAAACACAGCATTACGACGTACTTTGGCGAAACCACTAAATTCATATTGCATGATTAGCGGTTTTCCTACACTGAACGTACATCGCATCTACATGATACATCAGCACAACACTTCGTTTCAGCTATAATATTGTAATCTTTAAGAATTATATGCAAACAATAGAAATACCTAGATATACATACTCGGCCAGAAAGAACCCGTACAGATCCGACAAATTTACTTAACAAATATTGATTTGTTTTTTATACTAGTCTACTTAAACGAGTGCGTGATACCCTACACGGGTGAAGTAATAATAGTTAGTCGTTGGTGCTTCACGCTCCCAAAACCACGAAATAATTATGAGAGACGCCGTAGTGAAAGGCTCAACAAATTTTGACCATATGGGGTTCCTTTACGTGCACTTGAATAAAAGTACACCGATCTCAAGCTTTTTCGCCTCCATCGAAATTGAGACCGCAGCGGCCGGGATTCGAACCTGCAACCTGCGAGTCAGCACTCGATGACCGTAACCATGGCGGGTCACTGGGGAAACGGATAAAGGATCTTCAAATAGGAAGACGAACATCTTCCTTACAGACTTGTTAGTGGAGACCGGACTGGACAACCCCCTGTTTTAGACAGCCAGATATATATATGTATGTATATATATATATATATATATATATATTAATGTGTTTATGCATATACTGACAGTAGAAAAGGAAGGTGTGCGTATAAACAGTACATGCCTGTGTGAACTGCTCTAAGAAAACTGTGTATTGGCATGATATTTGAACTGGTTTCAGTGTGCTATTATGTTCTTTTTTTGGATTGTTCGCTTTTGGGTACCGTTTTGTATTATTCTTTTTTTTTCTCTGCAGAATGTCATAATATGAAGTAGCCGAGGCGATATGAACCTCAACCTCTACACAGCAAAACAGTTAGAACAGAACAGAACAGAACAGAACAGAACAGAACAGAACAGAACAGAACAGAACAGAGGCTGTAGTTCTATCAGTAATCGAGCTGCTAGCTGAACTTAAGCTCGCACGAAGAGAAGGTATAGACCATGGCTGTAGCTCAAGCAAAAAAAAAAAAAAGCCTTCGATGGAGAGCGGACGCTTCTCAACAGGCATACTCTTTAAGTCTCGATCTACTTGTTAATGTACACCTACATGACTTTATGCAGTAGAAGGTACACTGTGCAATAAGCCCGCCAGAGGGCTTTCGCCTCCGAGTCGTCTTCTGGTAAGGCATTAGGGACAGTGCGAGTTTTTTGCATTCTACCCAGCGCAACCCATTGCTGTCTTTCACTACCATAGCTATAATTGTTGGCGAAGGTTCTGATGTGATGACCATTGCTGTAATTGAAGGTAACTGTAGCAGTAACCACATACTATTCCGGTATAGTATTCACCGCTGAAATACCATTCAATCATTTCTATTCTTTCCTTTGATTGTCGCAACGTTCCTTCACTCTTTTTTTTGTCGCTTATCTCTTTAAACAATCAGAGCACCCGCGCTAGCACTAAATCAATCCAAGAACTTCGTCAGAGACTCAGCATTTCGTTATAGAGAGGTTTCCGGTGCAATACGTTGCGCAAGCTTGTGAAACAACGGAGGCCCTTCTTTCGAAAGCAAAAAGGAACAGTGCGCGTTATGCCGCTCCAGATGCTTTTAATTAGGCACTTTGGAAACGTCAGTCGAGATAGCGATTCGCCGATAAAGAAATAAAGCGATAAAAAGTGAGCACGCAGCAGACATTTTCTTGTGTCGCTAACACGATAAAAAAAACGGCAAGGCGAGCGCGCAAAAAAAAAAAAAATCTCCAGCAAGTGGGTTAACATCGAAGAACGTGTCACAACTCATAAAATGAAGAGATTGCGAAACGGAACAATTGAAATAAATTCGCCACAAAACGCTAGCTTTGTGGAATACGGCCGCAATATCCGTATTTGGCAAAGTGCCGCGCCATCCGGATAGCCGTATAGCGGCCGCCACAGCAAACGTTATGCAACGATATTCCGTACCATACGCTCGCACGTTTCGATATTTCACGTATGGGAAAAAGAAATTTCCGGACGTCGCTTTTTTTTTGCTCGTTGAATTCCGAGTCTCTGAGTCCTATTGTGCACCTATGGCGCAACTCAATGTTGCCAACTCCCCCATTTTGTACAAACATAAGCCCAGCTTTTTCTCGGGCCCTGTAGCAAATAGCGCAAAATAGTTGCGCTACGCTGCTCACGTTCACGGACCGTTGTTTTAGGAGGCGTCGAGGCACATTTGCAGCGCGTATCATTGCGACATCGAGAGGTTGCGAGAAGCGATTTGGATTATGGGGACGGCTAGAGCGGGAAAGCGGGATGCCGCCAAACCGGCTGTTGCCGATCGGCTATCTGGCTAGAACTCGCTTGCGAACACCTTGGCTAGAACCAAAGCATTCGGACCGGCTGTAAAAGAGCAATCGGGCCTGTTAGCTTTTGAAAAAAAAAAAAAGAACAGTGGCGTTTTGTAACAAATGCAACTATGTGGTCGACCGAGCGTCACCGCTAGCTACGCAAGCATTTGAGCTGGTATAGTCTTTATGGTGGTAGATTCAGTGGTACTTCAAAAAAGTGAAGATAAGAAAAAAAAGAATGAAGAAATAATCAATAAAAATGTATGAAAGATTCAAGAAAATGACTAAAAAAGTAAAAGGCAAGGTTGAACGAAAAACGAAAAAGAGTAAGAAAGAGTTGAGAAAGTCGATTCTCTGGGGTGTCATGTAGAAGGGTTATTTCGCAATCCTATCAAGAAATACGACTATGTTGCAGTTTGGGAAGAATCAATGATGGCCAGTTTAGAAGGGCTATCATCCTTTTTTTTTTCTAATCCCGAAGTGCTGTTCTTTCTCTTTCACTCGCCTCTCGATCCATTGTTCGACAGGGTCTCGATTTATCCAAATTTCTATAATTCGTATTGTTTCGCGTTGCGGCACAATACTTACGGCAGTTCTTATGAAAATCTAACCGGCGTATAACGCATTTTGTGGCGCGACGGCTGCGGTAAATTGGCTTAGCGAAACGGAAACACGGCTACGCCTGTAGTACTGATGGAACAATATAAAAAAAAGTAAAGACAAGTGCAGTTTTTTTGAAAATTGGAGACTTGGGCCCGCGTAGTTGCACGAATA